ACATTCTGACAGCACTTCAGACAGCAGCTTTGTGCCCCGCCAGCTTCTTGTTCCATGCCTACCATGGTGTTTTTGTACAGACAGCACTTCAGACAGCAAGTATGCTGTAGTCGGCAATCATTCGTTTTGGTACAGAGTGGGACAGGTAGGGGGTGATGTTACTGTAGTCGAACGGTGAGACGGACGTGTAGTTCAGTTTTGGGCACGCGTACGGTGCTGCAGGGATTATATAGTCTATAGGTGTAGTAGTACCTCTTCGGGCTCTTGGACACCTTTTTCTTGCTACGTGTGCGTGTTCTTTATTTAGATCCTCAGATGGCTCTAGCACTTTCGTGACCACGGGCTGAGAGTCTTTGCTAGATTTTGGCATTTAGCAACTGGCATACGGTTTAATGTGAAGTCAACAACAACAACAACAACATAGCTCCAGCAGAACATAGACTACACGGGACGCGACCTGTCTGCGGCGAACCCAATACCTGAGTAAGGTCGTGTGCTGCTTAGGGCGGTCTCGATAATGCGCGGTATCATCCGTCCGTAGTTCAAGCTATTTCGATCTCGAGTGCGGGGCCCTACCAATAACACTACTAGACTATAACCCCGAGTCTTGCAGCATTGCTGCACTGCTGAAGAAGCTGTATAATGTTGTTTCACAACTGGTCCGCCGCAACAAAAAACTTTCTCTCTTCTTCGAGCCCCCGCACAATCCGAATCATCCTGGATCCATGTGCTGTCAACGACGGAAACTAGACACACACTTGCGGAGACGTCACGGACAAAGCTGGGGTGGGTTCGGGGTGATGGGGGATAGCATGGGTGAATATCAAAGTCGCGCGTTGCAGTAGGCACGAACGGGGTCGTTTGTGTGTAACTGCGTTTGTACTTATAGTCTAGTCTACAGCAGTAGCATTCACCCAAGTACAACGCGGCAACAAGGCACAACAAAAAATACCTCCTATGCAAAGACTAGACTATGCCCGTAGCCTGTGTAGTCTAATCATGCAGCAGAACGATATCAATCAGATTCACCTCCTTCTCATGTGCTGCTGCTAGGCCATGCGCGAACACTTGCAATGTAATTTACGGGGAAAACGCACTTGCAACTACTGTAGTTTAGTCTACAGCAGTATGATGTGTACAACCCACACGACCTCTCAGTACTGCATTACAATCACACCAGTTGCATGGAGGATTCTTCGCGAAACGCTCCTCGTATTGTTCCGTGTCGATTCTGACCACGTACGTAGACGGCATTGGGTGTAGTGGTTCACCCCTGAGCTGGTTGCATATGGAAAATTATTTTCGCTTGAGGCTCCCTAACCGCCGGCCGTTCGGTGCTTTGAGTGCGTGGGGTCTGTGCGCGTTGTCTCCCGGCGCTGGCCGACCTCACGGTCCGCTCGAGGGGAGAGATTGCACTGACAGTAGACTAGGTCCTAATTTTCTCTCTACAGCAGTACCGCCATGTGAACACCATCTCACATCGCCATCGGGGAAGGTCGGGTCGGGGCAGCGTTGTCCCAGGATATCCCTGTTGTGACCTTGTACAAATGCCTCCACATTTAATTGTCGTCTAGAGAGGTTGCTGTGGTGTTTTCTTCCTGTGACAGCTGCAGCAGTGGCGGCGGTTTTCGCGATGTGCCAGATATACACATGTTGTGTGATACATTCCAGTATTCCTCTTCCCTCTCGTTTATTATAGCGACTGCAGCTTTTGTGATCAGCACGCGGATTGAGGTTTGGTGAGCCCTCGACGAGTTTCGTTTCTCCTTTCTTTCCTGGTCGAAGGCAAGCGAACTCATTGTGGGAACGCCTTTAAAGCGTTTTCAGCACTTCCAAAAGTATCTCTGAACTTCCTCCACCCCACCCCCTGACCCCCCACCTGCCATCGGGATTGGGTTTTCGTCGCTTGGCAACGACGTTGTAAAACAAGCCAATTCACTTCGTGAACTCGGCAACCAAGTTACCGTTTTTGTTTTTTTGTTTTTTGGGGGCGATCATGGTGGTCGAGTAGATCATGTTGTGCGGGGTCGAGAACCCTCACTCCGCGCAAGGGGGATGATCGCACCACGTTGTGTTAAATGGTCAGGCACCCTCGAGGCAGTTACACAGCAGTGCTTACAACTGTCTCTGGAAGTGAACAACAGAAAATAAATTAAGTCATACGCAGCTGTCATCCGTATGCAAGAAAGTAAGCACAAGATGCCGAACACCCCTAGCAGGATGCAGCGCACCCTTCATGCGACTCGCCGAATATCTCACGGCGCTTCGCGCTTGGTGATATGAGAGCCTGGTCCGGTGAGAACCCGGCGTGCTCCGTCCCGGCTTTGTATGGATGCGAGGTCAATGGTCTAATGACTACGGCATGCACGACTATGCGTACACCCCACCCCCTGACCCCCCACCTCCCCCGTTCACTGATTCGACCCGGCGCACGCTCACACAACAACTTAGGTGCCCCAGAGCCTCGAAGGTCGCGGTGAGTCACGCAACAATAATAGCATCGATGGTCAAGACGGTAGCATAGGCATCGGGAGCACCTTGGGCGATGTGACTCCACAGTTAACACCATTGCCGCCCCCAGATGGTGCTGGAGAACCAAGGTTCGAGGGAGAAGAAGAAAATATTGGCTCGCCCACTTCGACCCTCTCAAACTCCAACTGTGAAGGAGAATCAGAAGAAGAACAAACAGGGAATGTTTGTGGGATGATCGGCATTCCCCGGGAGGGCGGGGACGAGGGCAAGGCGGTCTGGGCCAAAAGGAATAACAATGAGACGGACGAGGCCTCACCTACGTCGGGAGTGAAAATTCTTCGCAACGGTCAAGGAGGCGCCTTTGCACCAGCCGGCGGGGAAGGGGAACGGGGAGGGGAATGTGCGGATGAAGGCGAGTGTAACGAAGAAGCAACAAAGCTGGGGGTTGGGGTTGTACAAGAAGATGAACACGACACCGGCAGGGGCAGCGGTGGTTTGGAGGGTCGCGTAGGAGCAAATGAGCGTACCTCTGGGACGGTTGAGAGTGCGGACCCTTGCCTTGTCGAGCGCCATCCGAGGAGTTATCTGGAAACAAACCCCGGCAGCAACAGTAGTGACGTCGCTGACAATTGCGCCGCCGCCGCTGATGCTGCTACCGTCACGAGCATGGGACGAATGGCAAGCGAGGGATGGCGGGTGAACGAGATGGAGCAGGGCACGAGTATTTCCGAACGGGACAAAGTGAACGGTATCAATGCCGAACATAAAGGGAAACAGGATGTTGATGTTAACGATGGTGAAACACCGCTGGTAGATTTGAACCACTGCCCTGGGTCAATGGTGACCGACACGGCGGTGGAGGAGGGAGATGGCAACCGATATCATTCGCGTAGTGATTCTGACGGCAGAGTACCAGGAGCGGAACCGGGTATCGGCCTGAACGTTGAAGCGGCGGAGGCTGAGAAAGACATGTCGCCACAGCAACAACGGAAAAATGATCCCGAAGAAGGCGCCGTCAGAGTCCTCAGTGACCATACTGATGCCGTTGGCGATGGTATCGATGCCGTTGCTACGAGCAAGAAAGCAGACGAACATGCGAACGATGGTTACCAGGGCCGCGACACAGTTAAACCGAGTCTCGGCGACAAAGACGGCACAAATGACGAGGGGTCTTCGAAGATAGGAAACGATGGTGGTGCGCGGCTACCGATGGCACTTGACCTAAACAAGGCGGTGGCGGTTGGGGGTGAGGGGCAAGTCGAAGGGAGCGGGAAATATGGGGTGATGTCGGTGTGGTCCAATTTCGGTGCCAGCGACAATAGGACTACGATGGTGGCTCTCCTGGCGGTGGTATTGCTGCTTGACCCCAATAAAGCGGGCAGATTCTTCGATGAGATCCTCCGACAGCACAATGTACGCGGGGATGCTGACAGTACCACGAGTACCACCACTAATGTCAACAGCGCTAACGGCAGCGGAGAATGGGCGCCCGACAAGAGGGCTGATTCCACCACCGCAGAGAAAGCCGGCGCCGGCGCCGAGGTTGCTTCGTCTACTGCTGCTGCTGCTGCTGCTGCTGCTGCTGCTGCTGCTGCTGCTTCGTTCGTTGCTACCACTGCAGCAGACTACGCCGCTCGCCACGCAGCCCCGATCAGTGTCGGGGAGATGCAGAGCCAGAAAGACTTAATCGGGGGAGGCGACATTGAGGTCGATACCTCGCAGGAGGTGCCCAAAGGAGAGCGACCGTCCGCCGCCGGCCATGGCATGGAAATGACCCAGCCAGGTGTCAACATATCGCCGCTTTCACTCCCTGCGGAAAAGTCACCTACTGCGCCCGATGGGTCACTGCCCGACTCCCGCAGCGGAGGGCCAGGGAGAGTCGAAGAGAAAGAGGACCATCCTCACCAGGGTAAGGTAAGGCAAGGTGGGATCTCAAGGAACGGTGACGATCCCACGATCAACACACGACACTCAAGATTAAGGCGGAAGACGACGAGCGACGTAATTGGTGGAATTGAAAAGTTGGAGACTGCGGAGGAGCTCAAAGATCAGACGTTTGGACCCTTTCAGAAGACCCGTTTATTTGTGAGTATTCATTGACTTTGTCGGCACAGTATTAGGAGTCGCCGTGGAGGACCTCGCTGCTGGTTGTGCTTGGAGGTTTCACATCGTGCAAAAGACTGAAGATCATCGGTCACTGCACGCGAACCGCACCCTTTTCTTCTCCTCTTGCCTCCCATTTCTAGTCCATCTTGGTGCGTTGCAATGGCCAACTTGGTGTTGCTACACAACTACAAGCGTGTGGTGATGTTCCATCCTTCGGCACAAAGCGTATAGTTGTACTGGACAAAAGAAGCTTGGTTCCTCAAGCCAGTACCGCCGAGTCGGAATTCGAACGGCTTTTCGCCAACGGTTTCGTTTTTCTTCACGCCTCTCCTTGAAGCACAACCTACTTTTATTCCGCAAAATTCAAACAGGAAACTAGTGGCTTCTTGTTGGGGCAGTCGTGGCCGCCGCTGCCTACGCCGCCCCCACCCGCCCCTTCAATCGCCACCCCTACCGCCTCTACGGACATAAATGTTAACGACAACAACGAAGAATGGTGCCGGCGGTGGTATATCTTGCAACGCGGCAAGCTCACGGCCTTTTCTGGATGGGGAGGGAACCACACGTGCGTGGGAAAGATGGCGCTCAAGGGCTGTTCCGTCGAGGACGCACCCGAGAAGGTTCCGGAGGGGGCGCCGTTCGCGTTTCGCGTGAGAGCGCAGCAGTGGTGAGTTTGCTGCTTGCGAGCGTCTTGGTTCTCGAGCAAACTCATTTATTCCTCGTGATATGCTCTGTGCCCTCGTACCCGAGAGGGTGGCTTGGTGGTGGTGGCGGTGGTGGTGTAGTGTGGGTGACGGTTTGATGCCAAAAGTTCGACTGGACATTTCATCATCCAATGTTTGTGTTTAAAGGACAGGCCACAGTGCTACGATGTACTCTGATCGTGAGATAGGCGTTGATGGGAGTCATTGAAGAACTGGCAGAACACACCGTGGAGGTATATCGTTGCTCTCGATAATCTCTGTTGTGGGCGCTACAGCTGCTTAACATTCCAAAACCGCAATCAAGCGCTACGTTTGCGCGGTAGAGGCAGAACGACCCCCGTGCCCCCTTTCCGACATGCCTGGTTACTTACAATGGTGACGATGCGCAAGAGTGCGCTGATGATTCTCCCAGCCACCCTGTATCTGTACCGTTTAGGACCACCCTGTGCGCCCAACCGCTTGGGGTGAGCAGTGACCAATACCCCTCTTGCACGCTGCAACGCTGAAACGCTTTACGTCGAATTTGATGTGCAGCGCTCGAAACGATGACAGCCCCGGGGCTTCATGGACGCTGCAGGCCAGCACTCGCCAAGAGAAGTCCCGGTAGGGTGCAGACCTACGTCAGATTGTACGCGAACCATACTCCGGGTAGTGGTTGGCACCTATTACACGGAGTCATCGGTACTCGAGCTTGACCCATTCCGTGCAAAGTTTGTCGTGGCGAAAAAGAGATCTTAAGGGTTCTCGACCCAGCTCCTGTAACCAACCCCTCTCCTTAGTGCGCAGGTAAATCCCCGCACTCGGAACTGCTGTCCGAGGAGGACGCGTGACGGTAGCCAAATCGAAGCATACAAGTTGTGAAATGTTTGCATATGCCACAACAAGAACATTTTTTTCCCTGCCCGTTCTATCCGCCGTTCCCGCCCACGACCCATCGAAGGTGGATGAACGCCATCCGCGGAGCCGCAGACCGGGACATGGACGACGTTTCGCTCCCGGGCTCTCCCCTTAACGCAGATGACACAAGTTTTGTTGACGCTGACTCTGGAAGGAGCGGGGGGGGCTACGGGAAGGAGGGGGACGCAAGCAACTCCAGCTCCGGTGCCGAGCAGCACCGTATTCTGGACATGTTCCGGATGTCGCCTGCCGCACAGCGAGGTTTTCAAGAGAGCGACAGTGACAGCGGTGACAGTAGAAACAGTGCTACTAAGTCGGTCGGGGAGCGAGTTGATGGAAAGGCGGGCGCGACAAGGGGATCAGAGAAACGTGCTGCTGGAGGCCTAGGCTTGACTGACGGTGGAGGAGAATTGGAGTTGCAGTCATCGACGGGCTTGGTGGACGCTCCGGTGGAGGACGCCGAAGCGGCATCTGTCAGAGCGCGTAGCGAGGAATGGGGGCAGGAGGGACGGTCTAAATCATGTGTCTTTCAGTAGAACATGCGCAGACAGACTTGGGTATCACAGGTCTTGTCGATAGGCTCATCATTGGAGACATCGTGCTCAAGACATGCGTAAGAAAAAAAGTTCGTCAATCTCCGTTCGCTTCCTGGTGAAAACTTCGTGTCTTCCTACCAGTACGACAGACGAGTCCTGTGCATGATTGTTTGAGCATGCCCGACATGTCAAAAGGCCATTTAAACGTTTGACGATGTCAGAAGATATATGTCACTATCATGCGTAGGTATTCGTTGACAGAACCGTTTGGTTGACTCATCGCCTACGAATTGTAATGTTAGCACGTGACATCGGCAGGACTAGCTCAAGTTCTTGGCATCACAAACAAACGTGGTGTCTCCTCACCCTCGCGAGACGATGGCAGCCAAACAATTAAAAAAAAAACGGCGGGTGCTACGTTCATTTTTAGAACCAAATCGGGTTGTTCTGTTTGGTAGGCAGACGGTTAGGAATTGCTTTACATAGGAGAGGGATGCTACGATAGGGGGTACCCCCTTGGTCACATGGAGTGTTTCGGCGGACTGGTGTGTACTGCCTTAACCGATGGAAAAAATGCTTATTGTTTTGCACACCGCGAGATATACGCCAGGCGGCTGCCTTGGCAGAATTGATTTCCTTGAAATGCAAAAATTGAGAGAGTTACGAGCATTTATTCTATGGACCTTGTCGGGCGACAGCATATGACCCACATGTCTTAAAAAGTGTCCCCCCTACCGTAGCATTGCTCAGGACTACAAGTAATTGATTTGGTAGCTGCCCTGAAAGATGGCATCCGAAGACGACACTGGTTAACTTCCAACGGGACAGGACCATGATTCTTTCAGGGCGTCCGCATCTTGACCAGGACGTTGCATGGTCGCTAACGGCACACGAGTTTTTGGCAGAGGTTGTCCGCATGGAGCGGACACGCTCGGCGTGTGGGGATGTTTCGAGTATTTTTGTGGATCCACAACACGTTTTTCTTGTATGATCGCCAGTAGTGGGCGGGATGGAGGTTTCCTTTTGTTCCTGGTATTTTGTTCAGTTTAATGCAACTCAAACAAATTGCATTTGGATTGATCGACGTGTGAAGTGATTCCGTTTTTGTCCACTACAGCCGCAGCAGTAGTAGTAGCTGCTGGGCAAATGCGTTTGAGCTTCATTCACAGGGTCCTTCCGTCGCGTGGAGATCCAAGGATGGGTGTACAGCAGTAGTTGCGATGAGTTCTTCGATAGCCTTTGTGTCCTTGGCTTTATATGGACATGATATTATTAAGAGAGATTGTGCTAGCACACACACCGAGACACTGAAACGTGTGGGGGAGGTTAATTTGGTCGCTTTCCGTGGGGGCGACATCACCTTTATTTTCTGCTTTGTTTGGTAAAATAGGTACTGCTGTAGTAGCTTTAGTAGTCTAGTATCTTTGCAACCCGAAGAGGAGGTATACTTGGGAATTCGCGATGTTCGGCAAGTTATTTCCGTGTCCTACTTGGGAGTGGTGCCAGCGACTTCGTGGGTGTATTCTCGCGTTGTTCCGTAAACTGTTCACACACGAGCATACCACCAACCGAGGAGGCAGTGATTGTGCGCCGCTGGGTGAATTCTTCATCTCACGATAAACACGAGCTGTGTGGAGGTCAGGATATGGAGATTCAGGGAGCACAGATACTCGTACATAAAGAGTAGGAAGGATCTGAGGGAACATGTGATAAATTATTAAATAGATCACCGTTCCCCGAGGGTCCACAACTCTTGTGATTCCCAACGGCTGGGAAGGGTCGATGGATCTTTGGGAGAATGGGAAAATGGGGCCACGAAGGCTCGCCCACTCTCCCACCACACTAGCTTGACTTTTCTTGAAAATGGATACACGAAGGCTCGCCCACTCTCCCCACCACCCTAGCTTGACTGAATTCGCTCGGCCACGCTTGGCATTCCTCGCCACATTGTACCAAAGGAAATAGCCAACCTCCGGTGGCAGGACCTAGCCACCACAACCCCGGACTCTCCGCTCACCCAGAGTAGTAGAGGACTCCATAGCTGTTGTGTCTGTAACCGAGTTCGTGCGTTGGCACATCGGCGGGCGCTTCTTACTCTTTCTCACCTCCCCGTTTGTGCTGTTCTGCCAAGAAAGGCAGACCATAAAATATGGAAGGATGGAGTATAAAGTACTTGTATAATCTATCGGCTTGGTGGTGGACACCGACGAGACTTCTCCACCGCACGTATCAACTCTGTGGGCAGACCGAGAGGTTGGCCCGGGTGCAGCTCGACAAGGATTCATTCGGTTTAGACTTCGGGAGATTTCAATGACCATCACTTGAACGACGTTTGTGCAGAAAGGGAGTTGGTCTGTGAAGGTTTTGTCATTGCTGTTGTTGTGTTAGAACATTCACACGACTCGTGTACTATACTATAGGATTTTGGATATACCCAACAACACGATCCACATCTTTTAGACTAGACTCGTCTATGTCTCTGGGTCAATCAACAACCTCTCTTCTCTCTTTTGTTCGACAAATGCCTCAACATTTCCCGCCGGGTTCACACCGGCCGATATTGGTCGAAATTCTTGCTTGCAAACGAATGCAGCATGCATGCAGCTGTTCCCATACGGCTGAACGCAGCACGCCTATACAGAGATACGAATGCATATGTAGACTAGTCTATGTATGTATGTACCACCCAAGGTACTTCTCCCTTCTTCCCCTCGCTCCTCGACAAGCTTTTGGTTAGACATGGGTTGTAGTGAAGGGGGGGGTCTTTCTGGCGAGCAGGGCTAGACTCACCCTCAAGGGATGACCGAAACCTTCTTGCTGCTGCGCATATCCGCCGCGAGGCATGCGCGTGGTGGTGTAGTTGGGTCGGCACTGATGGGGTCAGGCGAAAAAATGTAGATGCGCGGGCCTCT